AATAGTTTGCTGTGTAAAACCATTTCAGTGAAGAAAAAAGTGTCACAAAGCTAATATTCATCAAATGAAGAAGACCCTTCCTTCAGCACAGGTAGTTTTCTTGGTACTAGCATCTAGTGGCCATTAGAGAAACTACACCTTAGAGTATTACAGTTCTGGCATCAGCACTATCAAAGTGTGAAGTTCTCATACGGGACCTCTATTGCACTTCGGTCCATCCTGGGAGAGGGATCCAGCACTTGTGACTCCTTGAGGTTTCTATGTGTTTCTTCCTCTGGTAAAATAGTTTTTTTGTTAGTTTTTCATTACTCGTTAGGTCAGATAATGTACTTTGTTAAAGCTATGAGGCAAATTGTGATTTGTGGATTTAGGCTATACACAGAAGATTTTCACTGCCAGATAGTTGAGCAATGACTCATTGTATGTGGACTCAGCAACATGAAATAGACTGATACAGCTGATACAGAGAGAAACTGTACATTTGGCCATTTCTGCTCACAAATCTCTCTTTGCTGTCGTTTTCATTATCTTTGCATATTTTCCTGTTTCTGTTTATCTCTTATCTCCGTGAGACATTTGCCCGACTCTCTCGAGTCATTTGGAATCTGATTACGCCTCTATTGCCCATCCCATATCCTCACTGTTCCACTCCTCTTGTCACACTGGAGACCGAGTGGTGAAATGCTGCAGTGATGCAGATGGGGCTCGACTGCAGCCGTGGGCTTCATGTAATGTATCTTGAAGCGTTTTAAAGGATCATTGACTTGTCTGGGGCTGAGGGGAGGGCTAGTGGAGGAGGAACTGGTGAGAGTTGATGCACTTTTTCAGGTTCCCCATCTTTCCGCCATCCAGTGATGCAGAGAGATAGGTCATTAGATGCTCTGCTCCTCTTCCATTAATCTAATTAAGCCTTGGGGGTCAGGCCGAGTCCCTGACATTACTCCAATAGAGCTGGATGGATATTCAAAGGGGGGAAACATTGGTCTTTTTGTTGTTTACTCACTGTGCACCGATGGAAAAGTGCAGAGACACTTAAGCGTACTTGCTTTGTTGAAGAAGTTTCAGTGTGTTACTCTCATATTACACATTAGTCACAGAAAGCAGAATAAAAGAAAGTGTTTAAGGGTGAACACTGAATTAAAAACTCAGACCTTTCACCGTGTCCCTCACACACACAGATGACTACTACCTGTCAGTCACCAGCACAGCGACAATAGACCTTGATGGTGTAACAGCCAGATATGAATTTATAGCTCTAAGTGGAAGAGGCTGAATTCTCCTGCGGCCGCTAACATGACTCACCACTCTAATTGGTGCAATACAGATTTGCTCTCAACCAGGGGTCTGGAAATTATAACAAGGTCTAACCAAGGGAGGCCAGTTCACAGTGGCAAATGACACTATGATTACACCTTTAACAATGCCATAAAAAAATCAAGTACCACTTCGGTACTGTGTAAGGGGTCTCTCTTCAGTGGAGAGGAGGACGGAAATGATTTGTTCTGAGAAAAGGCTGCTTGAAGGACTATTTCTTGTCCTTGAAAAGAGAGCACTTAACCCAGTGTTTGAAATATTAGAGACAAGTCCTGTGCCCACATCTACTGCTTCTAAAAGTGAATGACCCGAGGCAACATGATGGTATAGAGAAAAGGCCTAGAGGGTGAGCTTGACTGTAGCTGACTGAATAATTTTGCTTTGGTTTATCTGATTAATGGGCTTTTAATCCTAACATGCATAAACTTTTGAATTTCAAATTTACCAACCTCTCATTCTTACCTTGTCACAATCAATGATCATGGCTCATGGATCATATCCCTCTGTGTCAATCCACAGGTGTCCCACAGGGCTCTGTACTGGGCCCAGGTCCTGTTCAACATATACATAAATTATTAGCTTAGCTTTTTGCATCTGGGAAATTTTACATCACATGCTTAAGATACAGTCATTTTCAATCATGAAAAAAATGCAGAAGAGGTTACAACAGGGCACATTCTGGCCTTATCTATATTGTTTGAAACTGGTCGTGTCAAATACATTTTGTTTGTTTTTCTATAAAAGCCACAACACAGATGAAGTCTGAGACAGTCTCAAATTAGGACAAAGACAACAGGTCTCAACAAGCATTAAGTGTCAAACCTTTCTTAAATAATAAATCAGAGGCTTTTTTTCAAATCACCTAATGTCTTGGCAAACAAGATATAATACAGTCTACAGCCTTAAAATCACTGGCTCTATACAAACCAACACAACAAATAAAACAACAAAATCCTCATCTAATACAGAAATGCTTGGCTAGTTGAAAAGATTGGGTTTTACTTCCTCCTAATCAAGTCTGGCTTCATCTACAGAAAATATGGCAGAAACGTCGCATTTAGTCAACCCTGTGTTTTCTTTCAGAACCTCACATCAACAATAATCAGTGCCTACAATTATTTCAACATCGATTCATGTATATTCTTCCTTTAAAAAATAAATAAATACTATAGATAGAACTATCTTACATAGGTTTCTTTCTGACAATGCTCAGCCTATGTGTAATACGTTGTGTTTTGGATTACTCAAATAAAAAGATTGAATATTTTCTGGGCAGTGAGCGTTGGTGCTATATCAGGTCACAGCCCTTAATGTTGAGAGTTGCACTTCTCCCTCCTACCAAATGGGGGCAGAACATCCTTTCATATGTCCCCTTCAGCTTCTTTCTAACAGATGATGAAACTACAGTATTTTCAATAGAATCACCCCAGTGCCACTGAGAATCACTCCAGGAGTAAAAACAAAGAAGAATCGACACCAGTGTGACTAATAGACACAACAACATCTGTTTTCACTACAGAAGTTGTCCCAAGAAAATAGTAAGAGCCACTAATTCATTGTCACAGCTAAATCTTTTGGGTTAGACGTGTTTGGACAATGAATGGGAATTTTGAGACTCTGGGTGTCAACAACACATAATTAAATTGTTCGGGATAAACAGAGCAGACACATTTCATGAACATTTTCCATAAATGTTTCCAAAAACAGTTTTTAATGTAGGAAAATGTTTGAATATACAAGTGTCCATCCACTGTGTTTGACTAATAAACACCACATGCATTTCTTTGTTCGTAGTTTTGCAAATCATCCTCTTATTTGTCACAACTTTTGTCTCACATCACTAATTCACTTAAAATCTGCTGGACTGTTGAATGAAAACTGATGTTATGAATCAAGATAAGATGTTCTACATGTCGTGTGTGTATCGGCTGCTGACTGAAGGAGGGTGAGATGAGGTAACGAGTGAGGACATGGCTGTGTTGTTATTGGATACATCCACAGATGCATTTGATTCCCATTGTTTCACTCTTTCCATAGCATCTCTTCTCTTCCCAAGGTTGCAGTGCACTGCTGTATTGGCTTTTTCTTGTGTGTGTGTGTGTGTGTGTGTGTGTGTGAGTTTGTGTTATGAGTGCTGAGCCACAGAGCACTGAGGTGTGTCATTGAGAGGCCCTGTGGGGCTTAATGCCTGGACCATTGGAGTGCACATTAATCTGAATGAAGGCACAAAGTGACAGGTCAGTGATTTAGGCTGCCCATTAAAGCTCACATTCACAACAGAGGGGTGGCAGGGCGGCAGGGGAGGGCCAGCAGCTCAGGTGCTTTGGGCCGCCCACTGAACAGAAGGTGGGACGGACAGGTGGTTGAAGAGCAGGGATATGCTAATACATAACACTTCTCTGCTTCATGATGCCAAATCCACCAGGAAGCTATTTATTCAGACATGATCTTCTTCTACGGGTGTTTTCACACCTGAAAGTCCAGACCATGGTCAAAACCAAGGTTCACTGTGTTTACATTCTGGTCAGTTTTGGCTTCACATTGCTATTTAGAGATTGGAATAAAGACTTTTGTATGACATAGATAAATCCTGTCATCATCACATATGTGGGCTGAATCTACCTATACTTGACATTGATTGGTTTGTAGACAGGCATGTGTCTGACGTCCGTTTGACGGTTCATATCATTATTATTAATGTAATATCATTACGCTACCAGCATCACCAACATCAGCCGCAGTACTCAACCCTTGTCCGAACACTCCAAATGAACTTCCTCATCATTCAAACATTATATAATGGGAGACTGCAAGAAATCCTGTAAGCCGGTTCCGCTTTCTTGTCTTCTTCTTCTGTTTAATGATGTCTCGACTTCCTGCAATTGGTCCAAAAGTCTGAACTTTTCAACTGTTCACACTGCAGAGGATCTGAAACATACTTAATTTGATCCTTGGTGAGAGGCACCTTTCACACTTGTTTGGTTCAAAATAAAACGAAAAATCAGAAGGTCCAAATAAACCAAAGTGTAAAAGGGTCCTCATCGTCAAAGTCTCTTATCTTATTCAAAATAAATCTAATGTAACTTTTAATCACCCTCATTTGTTTCTTGATATATCTCTCCAGATCAAACAATAGTATAACTGCATTATTTTGTCATTTATTAGCTGTTTGTGTTCATGATCTGATTTAAAAACTATTTCTCATCTGATCTGCAACGATAATCATAGTCATAATCAAGTGAATGTGTTTTTGTGTCACTTATGACAAAAGTGGACACAGGTGAAAGGAAACTCCATCCATCCATCAATCTATCCATCCATCAGAGGGATAAAGAGAAAGGCCAGTGTGACAGATGACACATGGCCTCAGCCTTTAACACCATGATCATTTCCCATGAATGTTAACAACCCAGTTTCTTTCTTCTGTTTTTTCAACCAGGTTCTGACACACCCTGTGGCAGCAATCACATCTTACATGACCAGGCTGTCATCCGGCATTAAGCTACAGGTCTCCTTAACAAAACACTGTCATCCTGACAAAGGTCAACTGTTGCTGAAATGTATTAGTGTCTGGGTCAACGCTTCCTGAATTAGACTGGAGCACATATTGTGTGGGGAGCTGTGGACAGTACAGCCGCAATCAGACTCAGGATATAGAAGAAGCAGACGACATAAATATAAGTTTACAACTATCTTACAATATGACAGCAATAAGAACAACATTCATCGTCAACAGTGTGCAACATCCCTGATGTGTATAAGAGATTAAAGCCCTGGGAAAAAGCAGCAGCACTAAACCTCTCTCACTGCTAAACCAGTAGAAAGCAGCCAGACTGACGCACGGGCCACACTGGATGTGTGCTTTGCAATTCGTCACCCATGTTGTCAGATTAGAGGGGTTACCATAGACTGTATATAAAGAGGGGCTACACTGCCTGTGAGAGACACGCGTCTCAGGTGCATCTCCTGCGTGTGAGTCACGCTACTCTTAAAGAATCACACCAATGTGTAGCGCGTGACATCTATGTCGCTGATCTTGAAATGAAACCGTGGTGGAATATCATTTTCAGTCTATGGAGGATTAACATAACATTGACATCACTTACACTGCTGGTTGTATGAGTCCTTTCAGGTTCTGGTATTTTTTTCCAAAACAGGTTAGTTGGTTTATCAGGTTGGTTCAGATGAAGTAGATTCACGTTTGAGCCAGGAAATGTTGGCTGAAGATAATTAGACATTGCTGTAAATGTGTGAAGGAGTTTCCCACATTGCAAGTGCTACATTGTTGGGAATGGATTCAATTCATGGCTTAAAGCTAAATTTAATGGTCACCAACACTAAACAGGAAGAAAAAGCCCCACCAACAGAGTTGAAATTACAGTAGTAATTACAACCATATGAGCTGAAAATCATGGAGGTAGACAGCGTAACAAGTAAATCTCAAGTGTCTCTATGTCTGAGAGCAGAGTTCACACACATCTCACTCTCAGTAACTTCCCACACCCTCTACCAGCGTTTTATCACCAAGTAAACACAAATGCACACATGCACACGTGAGAACAAGCGGAGGAAGGTGAGGGTTAATGAAAGGTGCTTCTCTCATTTTGTCTTGTGCTACCCTCCACAGATGGAGACGATGATAATATCCTCCCTCTTCCTCTCCGAGCTCCAGCTGCATTCTGGCTCCGGGCTGCTGAGCTCCACTTCCTCTGGATAAGAGCTGCAGCACCAACTATCTTCATATCTAGGCTACGGATGCCAACTGTAATCTGTCAGGTCTCTCTCTCTGTGCGTGTGTGTGTTTTATTTGTGAGGAATATAGCACAGCCTCATACTGTAGCCTGTGAGAGTGCATGTGCGTGAAACAGTGTATTGAGTGGTGCTGTAAAAAGCCTTTTATGTGATAAAGCAAGTAACAACAGGAAGTTGACCTCAGCTTGAGGATACATATTGTGCCTCCAGCCGCTGCTTGCAGACTGATAAAATGCTGTTTTGTTTTTATTGTGGTGCAGCATGTGCACCTCAAGTGGGCAAATGCGTAAATAACACTTGAGTGCTACTTTCACATACTGAATATTTCATGTGCTCACATGTGCGACTGTGCTGAAAAACAATTCTGACATAAACTACCTGACAAGGGACAAATGTATTTCTTTATAATACATTATGTATAATAATACATAATATATTTTCCAATAAGACACAACGCTGGCTCTGTAGACGTGCGTGTAGACACCAGTAGCACAAATGAAAAGCACACAGAGCACAAGAGACCACTGGTTGTGTTACTTCACGACTAAAATGGTGGTTTCTTTTGGACTGTCACCCGTGGTAACCATCAACTACAGCTTCAAAAACGTGGAACAAGAACACGTCGCTCCCTGTCAACTACTGCGTTTGTTCAAAGGCTTTTTATCAGGTGAAACCTTGGTCACAGCACGTAGCATCGATTTGAA